TTATATTGAACCAATGTCACAAAATTCATAGATTTTGTGGTCAGTGATAATTATAATAAAAATGACCATTGTAGCTTAAGTTATAGGCTTGCATTTAATAACACATTATAAATAAAACTGAATTGTATAATATCTGGCTGTGTTTGCAGTTATATGTGATTATTTAATTAATTAATGGCCACACCATGTAATCAGTTAGACCACATATTTTAATCGGTTGATGGCACTAGTAAATATGAATCATTTGGACAATGTTGTTGTGTTTAATCAAACGGAGAGTTTTTTTTTTTTTTAACTTTTAGTACTCTGTTGTGTAAATGTACATTTTGTCAGACTGTGACATGAAGCCATTTTTCGTTGCATGAATTAGTGTTTTATTTATTTAATTCACTTAATTGTCTTTTGGTGTTAAATGCTCAGCTCACTAAACGTCATAATTTTGCCATTTACGATACGATCCTGAATTTACATCTCCGTTGATCCTGGAACATCATTTTTTTTGTGTAAAATGTAATCCATACCTACAGCATTCTATACCCAACCGTAACTGTAAATTATTCTCTTAACAATAACAGAAACTGTAAATTTATCCCTTAACCCTTTACGAAGGTCTGTCACAATTTCTATTTTGGGTTAAAATATAACACAATGTTAAAATATAACACGTCGTATTAAAATATAATACGATAAACGATATTATCGTCATTTTAAGTCCATTTTATGCCACTCATTATAAAGTGCCAGAATGGCAAATAATATCATCACAATGCCAGTTCACTCCTTCAAAGAACACATCATGTTTTATTCTTAAGAATATTTAATTTAATTATAGTCATTTTAACAATTTCATAAGCGATTGGAATCAGAATGTGAAAATGCATATCCCGAGAAAATATTAATAAATGTTGACAAAAAAGTGCAAAGGTAAAAAAGTAACAGAGGTAACAAAAGTAATTTATAGAAAATACTATAGTGTTTCTAGAAATGTTGCACAATCAGCTGAAGTGTTGCTAGAATTGGTTTTTATGTAGGGGCGATAGGCAATGTGGTGGCGCAGTAGGTAGTGCTGTCCCCTCACAGCAAGAAGGTAGCTGGTTCGAGCCTTTGCTGGGTCAGTTGGTGTTTCTGTGTGGAGGTGCATGTTTTCCCCACGTTCGCGTGGGTTTCCTCTGGGTGCTCCGGTTTCCTCCACAATCCAAAGACATGCGGTACAGGTGAATTGGGTAAGCTAAATTGTCCGTAGTGTATGAGTGTAAATGGGTGTTTATGGATGTTTCCCAGAGATGGGTTGTAGCTGGAAGGGCATTAGATGCGTAAACATATGCTGGATAAGTTGGCGGTTAATTCCGCTGTGGCGACCCCAGATTAATAAAGGGACTAAGCCGAAAAGAAAATGAATGAATGTGTGGGCAATATATATTGCATCACCAAAAATGTTTGAGATCATGTCCATGCTTTGTGGGATAAGTCGTTCTATTGATTATTTTGACAGGCCCCTTTAGGGTGCACACTTGGAAAAAAAAAATTGTGGCCCACATCTTGGATTGAATATTATACTGACACAACTCTAATAAATATTATGATGGCCTAAGATAATTATAACCTATGGATAAAAGGTCAGCCAGGTGGTAAGGATGCCTTTAAAGGGTTAATTGTGATTGGCTGATTGGAATGTTGTTTCAGAATCAACATAGATGTTAATCCAGGAACATGTCCACCTTGGTGAAATCAGGTTGGCGCAGCTTTCCAATCAAGTTTATGTCCGATTATTAATCGGCATCTTATCACAAAAACACACAGAAGCCCGGTAGTAAATGGCAATATTTCTTTTATTTTTTTTTTCTCTATATTTTAAAGTTTTTTTTATTATTTACAAAGAAACAAAAGAAAACATGAAAATCAAAATAACTTTTGACAAACACCGTTTGTCTGCATATAGGTGTAAGAAAGTATACATTTACCTTTCTTTACTCAGGATCAAGTAACTAATTGTTCATGTTTCGTTGTTTATTGAATGCTTCTTCCTCCTTTTTTTATTCTTTTTTTACATTTTTTTTCAAACCAAGCGTTGGTGTACATGAACGAGCGTAATGGAAAAAAAAACTACTACTGAGATTAAGAAAAAGCTTGAGGCCTGTTCTAGAATCTTCCGCCATTTGCATCACATCGCTGAACATATCAAACCAAAAAAATGATTTCCCCTGAATCGTGGAGGCCGCAAACCAAACATTTTGGTTTTTCCCTTTATTCAAGCATCCTGCGTTTCCTTTTGCATTGTTCATTTCCCATCACATAAACACAAATATATGAAAACAAAATCAAATAAATACAAAACAAACAAACATACCAAGATATGTGCTGGTTTTCTTAAACACCTCCTCAGAAAGTGACAGCATTCTCATTTCTCTGTGTGTCATTGCATGAACGTCTCTCTTTCCCAATCCCAAATTCGAACAGTGTTTAAAGCTGAGAGGAAAAAGCACATTAACACGGGAAGCGTTCCCCTCCAAAGGCAAGTACAGTATCAAAAAAATAGCAGATACCCAGAGCACTGCTGAACCTCCTCTATATCTGTACACTAGTTTCTATACACTATGGCATAGCAGGAGTTAAGCGCTTTTTGTTGTATTTGACCCACAAGAGCCAAAATATGCGATTCTGGATGATGTACAGTAGCAACCCCTTTAGTTAACCAACTAATGTATATATTTTAGGGTTGTCACGATACTGAAATTTGGTACCAATCAATACTAAAATTTTTAAAGTGTCCATTTCCTGCGAAACATTTGAGCACTCAACAGAAATGACTGTGATTGGCCGCGAAGGTTATCAGTTCACCGAACTCACCACTGTTTACTGAGTGTAACCCAGATAGAGGCACATTGGAGCGTTTTAAAGGCGCGATACATTAATGAATCGCTCGTATGTCAGCTTATATACAAATCAGCTCATTGACTTGACTTTGAAAAGCTCCAGTGTCCCTGTATCTGTGGTTACACTCAGGCTGAACTCAATATGCGTTCTTATCTGTGCTTGCGCTCTAGTGTTCTCGTGAATCATCGTCAACTAAGTAGTGAACCTTGTACCGCCCATGCTACTGTAATTGTTGGATTTAAGGTAAGGGGGTGTAGGCAATTGTCAACTACGTAGTGGACCTGGTCAACTACGTCATCAAGGGCTGCAGTCTTTACTTGTGAAGTGAAGGTATCTCAGGATGCCTTGTAGCCCAGCCAGCGAAAGCTAATGGCGGAGAAGAAATCCATATGGTTTAAAAAATACTCCTCTGTTGTGTTACAAAATAAAGTTTTACATTTTTCAGGAGAGAATGTAGTTGTTTTAAACTTGAATCGGCAGTTTAATTACAAAGATAGCGTGTCTTTGACAATGTGCTTGAGCTTGTGCGGACTCTGAGCCCCAGACTGTCAGCGAGAGCACAGGAACACCTCCCCTGCCAAGAGCGGCTTTACTTCAACCAGTCTATCTTGGATAAACCGCTGGATCTCATCTCTCTATTGTACACTGTAAAAAAAAAATCTGTAATTTTACGGTTTAATTCTGGTAGCTAGGGTTCCGAAAAAAAAAAAGTAAAATAACGGCCGTTAAATAACAGAAATTTACTGTTAAAATAACAGATATTAAATTACAGAAATTTACTAATTTTTTTTTTATTTCTGTAATTTAATATCCTTTATTTTACGGTATATTTCTGTAATTTAACGGCCGTTATTTTACTTTTTTCTGGCACCCCAGCTGCTGGAAATAAATCGTAAAATCACAGATTTTTTTTACAGTGTAGTTAAAAACATAATATTTAATAAATCTTGTGTATATCTAACGGACAGTTTTTGGTCTTTTAAATCCATTGTTTATTTTCAGGTGTATTATTTTTGGCAGTGTTATTTTGTTACGTTTTATAATTGTCTTTAATTACGTTACTGTGTTATACGCTGTGTGTTTACCAAACTGCTTAATGTTATCTTCTTATTGATTATGTCTTGTACTTTTATAATTGTATAATGTCCATTGTAGTTTATTAAATCTTATAATCAAAGACAGGAGTCTGTGTATAATAATACATTTTACTTCACATTCATAGCGATTTATTTTTATATTTTCTTAAATCAAACATATTGATTAATAATATCGATTATAAGGCTGTGCCTTTTATAATTAAATCATTTGGTAAAACGTTATTTTGATGGTCTTTTTGAGTAATAGTAGACTGTCAGCTTAATATCTGTTGATACTGCTCCTTCAACAGACATTTAACTGACTATAAGAAACTTTGCAAGTAAACTAACCCTAACCCCAACCTAACAGTCTACTTATAATCTAATGAAATAGTTAGCATGTAGATGCATTGTAACTTAAATTCAACAAACGGACCGTCAAAATAAAGAGTGACCAAACATTTTATTGTTAATGTACAGGAAATCTGATGAATTGATGTTGAGGTAAGTGACGTTATAAAGTACACTGCCGTTCCATTTGAGTAAGTACCCGAGTTGTGTCCTCGGTAGTTTATTCTTCTAAGTCTGAACTTTCAAGAACGAAAGTCCAAACTTTACTTGGTATTAAGAAACAGTGGTGATTTCAGTGTATGATGACCTTCACGACCAATCTCAGCCATTTCTGTAAAGCACATGAACATAATGGCAAATCAGTGGTGTATAAGAATGTGCTCATATGTTAGACGTTTTTGAATGTTCAGTATTGATTGGTACGGAATTCCAGTATCATGACAACCCTAATATGTTTCCACTCCTCTCGTTCTCTCTCTTTAAACAGAAAGTGCAATTCACAATGAAGGTTTGTTTAGAAATGTTTCGCTTTGGCCAGTTTCATTCCACACAACATCAAACATCGGTGGCTATAAAGTTACACACACACAATTGCCCATTTTGCCAGGATTCCAGTCGATACTGATGTGTTTGTTAAATGCGATAAACAGACAGTTTTTTCACTAGTATGGTTAATCGCATTGATATACCATCTTTTTAATCCAATACGTTTGGCCATTCCCATTGCATTTTGTTCTTGTCAGAAAACATTGAACATACACGTATACACTGGTTTACATACGTGTGCATGTGTGTGAATGCGCACACACAACACGACTCACGTTCATAAAATGAAAAGGATGAAACATGGCTATAGTTTAGGCACAAATACTTAAGAATGTCCTTTTTCGTGAAAACGCAATGTTTTTGATACGCACAGAGAACGTCTAGGCAGACAAGAAACGAAACAAAAAAACGTAATCTCACAATACATTTAAACGTCAACATTTTTAAAATAGTTTCTCTCTATTTTTTTTTAAGTATTTGTGACAATGCATGCGTTTATGATCGCTTTATGGGATTTGCACCGGTACAGTACTGACACAAGTGTTTTTTTTTTTGTCTTTTGTTAGGGTTTTTTGGAGGGGGATCATCTTTAAAAACATTGTGCAAGGGGGCTTGGAGACTTTGCACAGGTCAGATCAGTCCTACAGACTTTCGGTAGCTGTATTGCACAAATTCGTTAAAAATAGAAGGGGTAACCAAATGTTTAACCCCCAATACAGGTGAATGACATGCTATTTCAAAGTCTTAAGCCCCGGACTGGATGAATCGACACGCGGAAGAGATAAAAACCTTAATGCAAAGCAGCTTCTGTTTTTCTTTCTTCCAAATCTGTAAATCTTTTGACAATAATCTCCCCAGTGCTGTCGGTTTACAGATTATTACAGTATGTTACGTGTCTTGGACTCGGTGAGAACATTAGTAGCATGACATACAGTGTAAATAAATACATTAATGTGGTTTTCACAGTCTTAAAATGTTAAATGCAAACAATAATGGAATATGCATTGCCATAACAGAAGTTGGAGTAGTGTGTGTGTGTGTGAGTTATTAATACTGATTCATAAGAAGAACACTATTAATATAAAAATAAAGCGCCTATCAGGGTATGGAAGCAGACCTAACATGATCAGATAAATGCATTTGATTCTCATTTAGAGATTTGGAAATGATGCATTAAGCTTTGTTGATAATGTTGATGCATTTCCCCTCCCCCAACTGCACTATAATCACTCATATATCGTTATATTTCGCCAGCATGATATTTCTGAATACATGAATTGTCTTTATTACTACCTACTCTGTAACGCTACTATTTGCATTAAGGTTTTCTTATCTCTAATGATTGTTTCTGATGTTTGTCGTCACATATTACCATTTGAATATATATATTTATATATATATGCATATATAGGCATTACCCAGGCTGCTGACAGAGATAAGACATTGCCATGTTTGAGAAATGCACCACACGTTACTTTTTGTAAATACTAGCTCTACAAAACTATGTACAACACACATATAGATAATCTTTATATCACAGTCTATTGCATAATGGTGATAATCTTTAGTTTTTATAAATATTGTAAATGTACAGTCTTTAAGTGACATTTCATAATGTCCGTCTCATTCTGAAATCAGAAAATAAAGTCCGATTTGACCACACATCCTTGACAAAAATAAACTATATTAAAAAGAAAAATGAAAACAACACATTAATTCCCTTCTTAAAATGTGACGCAATTATTGCACAACACAATGTATTGCAGAGATCGAAACTGCACCTTTTTTCTGATATTATAATTAAAATTATTATTACTATTATCATTATTTCTTTTTCCAGACAGTAACAGTTTGTAGATGTGCTTTTTAAACATTTAGTATTTTTCCCAGATTTGATATGCGCAAACATTTTCCACAGTGATGTCAAAAGCTGCTGAATGCTGGACTTGTTTTGTCAGCTTCTCTTCGAGAACAGAAAAAAAAAACATCATTGCATTCCCATACCCAAAACGATAACGAAAAACATAACTGTAAGAAAAAAACATCAACAGAAAAGACCATTTTCAGACAAGTTATAGTCACATATGTTTGAGAGGAAGACTTGCGTTTATACTAGAGTTTGTTTTCTTTCCCATATGGTCGGTGCCAAATATTCTAGTTGGATTTGCACATATATTTATATATATAGAGAGAGAGATTTGTATAATATACATTCTTAAGTTGAAGGGGAAGTGTGTCTAAAATATAGTACAAGGAAATTCTGTACAGGATAGCTATGAGGTTATCTTTTCAGAGGAAGTTGGAGGAAAAAAAATACAAGTCTTTTCCCCGTTTTTTTTTTTTCGGTAGTCTCTCCATAAAAATCAATCAAAATATCTTTTAAAAAAATGAACATGAAAAAAGTAAAACGGGATCATAAATTCGATGCGAATCGCATCTTGTCTTGTTCCGTCTCTGTACTGCTTAAGACTGCCGACTCTCTCCTGGAGCCCGTTGAATCCCTGTGCTGGGCACTAGAGGGTGCTGTGCGCACTGGCGGTAATGCACCCGATGACATCTGCCGGAAAAGGGCAACCCTCTGAGGGACGTTGGTGCGGATGCCGCTCTGCAGCACGGAGCCCGGGGCCTGGATGCCTGCCGCGGATCCCATGGGTGGTGGCTGAATGGAAGCGAGTGATTCGCCCGATGTGGGGTGCGCCCGGGCAGCCAGTGAGGTCTCGTGGGGCAGCGAGGGCTGCGAGGCGGAGAGGTGGCGTAAGTCCTTGCTCAGGCTGCCAGACTGGAGGGCCTGCGCACTCTTGTGGACATCACTCCTCTGAGGGGACGCCCCTTGCGGTTGCTGTTGGGCTGGTGGTTGGGGTAAAGAGGCTGGGGAGGATTGCTGTGGTAAGGCTTGCTGTACAAGGGACAGTTGGGAGGCCGTCGGTGATCCATACTGGAATGTTCGGCTAGCTATAGGGGTTTGCACTGGCGGACTGCAAATGGAAGTAGTGAACGAACAAGGGGACATAATTGCCCCTGCTGGCTGCTGCAAGGGCGTAGGGGGATTGGGCGAAGAGGAGCTCAAATTGCCATGAGAAACGCTCGGTGCTGAAAACGTGACGCCTTGTGAAGGCGGCACGCGACCTGACGGGGTTATAGTGGCGGAGGTGCTGTAGCTTAGTGGGGCGGCCTGCTGCTGTAATTGGTTGTTCCCAAGAATAGCTGTCGCTGTAGCGAACGGTGGCTGAGCGGGAGAGTTAATGATGGAGTTTCCAGACATCGGCGTGGAGTTCATCCCCGTGACTGACTGCTTCCGATCCACCATCATCACCATCTCTCGGTCCTGCCGGATGATCTGCTTCAGCAGCTCGTTCTCTTGAGTGTTGAAGACGCCAGCGTTCAGATCCTTCTGGAATTTCTGGAGCAGGAGCGAGTTCTTCTTCCCTGTTGAGGGGAGCGAAACCGAAAAGTCTTTAGTTAGTCTTCAGTTTGCATCCAGCAGGTAACATTTAAACCAAATGGGATAACAAAAGGGTGTTCAACAGTGAAAGGAGAAGCACAAAGGTATCACGGATGTAGAAAGGGGAGGCTAGTCACTCCTAAGTAGAGATTTTAAAGTAGGGCTGATGTTGAATGCAACATCTGAGGTGCTTACCTCGTTTGGCTAGGCACTGAATCTCAGTTCAGCTGTTCGCTATCGCTATAGCAAATACACACATTTTAAAGTCTAAAACAATCACAATCTCTGAGCACAGCACAGATGCTCAAAAGTATCATTACCCTGCTGAAAAACAAGCCTTAAGAGTTTTGTTTTCCCCCAAACTGGTCTGCTATCTCAGCTGATCTCCTTGTCTGGTCAGGCTGGTCTGTCTGCTGGCTTTAGAAGGGTTTTGATCATTGTTATTTAGTTAGACATTTCTACAATAACCTTCTAAACTGGAAATTCTTGGTCAGGCTAGGAGATGAGACTGCTCAGGCATGTCAGCTGTTTGTTTTCCAGCAGGGTATCTAATACTACTTTTAACAGAACAAACACACTGACTAAAAGTAGGCCTTTATTCTGAATGAAATGATCTCTTCGTCAATAGTACAATACTCAATGTCTTTAATATTATTGCATTTAGACTTAATTGTAGTTGTTAAATCAAGGTCATGGCTGCTAATAATATTGTATTGTCATATACCCTGAAAGGTTAAGCTAGGAATAAAATAACATAAAATATAACACAATTTATTTAAGAGAAACATACTAAATGTTGCTGGGAAATGATTAAAGAAGCTCTCTGCAAACACTTGCTTAAATTATAAAGGATTACATTAAACTGTTTAAATGTCAGATATTAAATGTTGTCACTTTGAAAATTCATTTAAAAACATTTTTAGTGTTTTTTTTTTCTTCTTTTTGATTAATTTGTTTAGTGGAACAGCAAGTCCTACATATAGTCTACAAAGTTGCATTACAATATAAATCACCAATCAGTGCAGTCAATAAATCCGTCTGTTTGTGGGTTACTGTAATATCTATGCCACGTTCAACAAAGTTAAAACCAGCAATAAGAAAAATCCACTGATTGTTTGCGCTAGAAGCTGAGATTAGATGTCTGCTGCAATGGTTATTAAGGTTTCCAAATATGACTTTAACTATACTACAAATTTATCTGTTCATTTCTTTTACCCAAGTCACTGTTTTTGCTGCTATCATAAATGAGGGATGGATTGATTTGTCCGTGAACTTCTTCTGTTACTGCCCTTTTGAACACAATAGCTGAGCCGAGCTCTATTGTTACATAAGATGACGGAGTAAGGCTCTTATGAGCTGAAGGCATAAAGCAATAGGCTATCAATCTTTCATCCATAGCTGTATGAGTGAATCAGGCACGAGGGCATGCTGGGGGTTTTTACCATTCAAGGTGAATTCAGTCTCATGATCAAGCTGCTGTGGGATGCATAAAGTTTTATTATCAAGCTGCCTGCAGTTTTGAAGGCAATTGTTATGGATGTTATCATTAGGGAGTGAATACTAGAGCACTTCGTGTTTAGAAATTAGACTGAGAAAAATAGTATATGAATTTAAGAGTTCATATGAATATATTGTTACTGTGTGCCAGGGCTGCACAATATTGGAAAAAATTGACGTTGCAATATTTTTTTTTCTTTGCGATATATATATATATATATATATATGTGTGTGTGTGTGTGTGTGTGTGTGTGTGTGTGTGTGTGTGTGTATTAGGGGTGTCACGATTCTCCAAATTCTCGATTCGATTACATTTTCGATTCTTATTTCGAGTGAAATATAAATATATATATTTTGTAATTTATTATATACATATAATACAAAACACAGTCATAAACACAATGGAGCAAATATTAATTTGAAATAAATAGTGATTTACAGTTTTCTTCAGAGAGTCTAACAATATTTGGTTACAGAAATTTAATAATCAGATGTAAATTAACAATGTATAGTCCTCATCATATAAATTATTTAATAAAACAAATCTTTATTCATTATGCTCTTTTAAAATGCTTACAGTCACAGGTCTTAACACATGCACATGATTAACTTTCACCCTATCATTGTTAAATTCTAAATCTCAGGTGTTTTGACCTGGGGTTCCTGGTCATTTAATCCCAAATCAGCATTGCATATCTTATTGTGAATATCCTACTATTTAATATTGCAATATCGATCCTTAAACGATATACTGCGTAGCCTTACCGTGTGCTTAGATTATTGGGGAAATGCTAATGTATTGTCACGACAGATGATGATAGTCACTGAATTGCAGTTGTGTTGCATCATTAATGGAATAATTCCGTTTTTTCTGACATGTCATGGAAATGTTATATATATATGCAGGGATCATTTCCAATAATCAACCATAGTCTCTCTCCCTTCACCCCAATAAATAATTTAAAATAAACTAACATATACATATAAATACACACACACACACACACACACACACACACACACAT